CCCCAAAACCCCAAAACCCCAAAACCCCAAAACCCCAAAACCCCACTCAGAAAATAAAATATTGAAAATCGGCATAAAAACAACATGAATAGGCATAAAAGCAGCACTAAGAGGAAGATATGGACTAATTTCTCCCAAGATCCTTTTGGTAACCCACCTTTATCCCCAAAACCTCCCTCCCCCTCCCCCTCCCTCCTCCTTCTCTCCCTCTCTCCCTCTCCCCCTCCTAATCCCCCAATTTCTTACTCCAAATAAACCTCTAAATAAATTTTCCAAGACAACTTTCCCCCTCACAGGCTATTTCCAGGCTAATTTCCCTTAAAAAAATCTGATTTCTTCGTGAACCGGCCAATATAGACCAGTGCTCACCACAATTTTGGCTCAACCAGAAGCCCCTAAGCTTCGGAGGGGGGCTCAGGAAGAGGCCTAGTTGAGTTAGGATTTTAGGAGAGCGGCTAGCTGCTAGAAGAGGGTGGAGGTACCTCTGTTTGGTGATTTAGGCAGCGGATATATTTTCCTATTCACCTAAATACTGAGAATGTCATCACCCCCTGGTAGCCATGTTCCTTATGCTTCACCCTATCTAACCTTCCCAATTTTACCACTAGGACAAGACAAATAATTTCCAAATGTATTAAGAAACAGAGCTCTGGTTGATCTACTAATATTTCTTCCAGTCGATTCCCCCAAAGAGAGAGGGCTAATCTTCTTATGTACCAATCAGGGCCAAGTTATTGCCTATTTAGTCAATCTTTCAGCCACAAATACATTTGAAATCATCAGAATTATGAACCATTTTAGGCTAAATTTTAATTAATTAAAGAGCATTTCCTTCTGGTCTCTCATCAAAGAGATACCAGAGTGTTCTATTTAACAAAAACTCATTTAAAAATTTAGAATCTGCCAAAAAGAGAAGAAACAGGCTAAGCTCTGCTTCTAAGGATCCAAGGATGACCTCGACTGGGAGTACAGCGCTCAGGGCCACAGCTGTGACGACTCCGAAAAAAAATACTGCTCGCGAGAGTAAAGTCTCAGGTAAACCTCCTCCAGACCTTATAGACTACGCCAAGGATACTTATGTGGAAGATATGATGAGAAGAATGGAGAATAAGCTAGGAAAGGCCAGTATGATTCACAAAAATTCACTGGTGGACAGGTCTAACCCTGACACCCTCTATGGGTCCCCTAGAGTGAGAAGGAAGTCAGGAGTCAACTATCTTGACTCCTCACACGAAATTGAGATGGACATCGATGTTAATGAATTTACCTTGGAAAGCTGAGAATATAATTATGACGAATCCATTGCATCTTTAGGCCTCGACCCTGTCACAATGCTTGGAGCAAAGAGTAGCTATGCTGAAGTATCTATCACTACTTTACAGAACTCCAGAATTAATCAAAGTAAAATTATAGCATCAAAGAACCTTTTTAATGGGGATTTTCTATGTAAGAGACCGACTAAGATTGTAAGGTTCGCTTCTAATGAGTACTCCACTGATTCAGAGAAACACCAGAGGAAGAAAACCCAGCTTGTAATGAACAGAGATGGCTATATGAGAGAAGAGTACGATGCTGAGTTTGACGCTTGCTGAAATTTTACTTAAGGGGCTTCCTTTTTCAATGAAATATATGCTCAGAGGGGTTTTGGGGTTTTGGGGTTTTGGGG